ACCCTAAAGAAAAAAATAAATCTCCTATCAGCCCAGAAGAATCTGCAAACAAATCTTATTAAACTAACCTTAATCTTCCTAGTTACTTCTTCACCATTTACTCTCCCTAGCCCAAACCCTTTTGTCTTGTCAATTCCTCACAAATGTATTGCTTGTCTAAAAGGTATGAAAGCTTCCTGTTCTCATTACTTCCTAGAGTCTTCATTCTCTTCTGAAGGTTCCTATGTACATGTGAAAATTCAATAAAATGTGTATGTTTTTCTCCTGTTAACCTGTCTTTGTCAGTTTAATTTTCAGATCCAGCCAAAGACCCTAAAGAAGGTCAAGAAAAACTTTCTCCTGCCCTGCAGTTCAAATCCAAGAATAATATAAAAATGGAAAGAGGATAAAAACCAGCAAAGTTACTGGTCAGGAAGTGAGAGCAGTTTAGGGATAAAATAAAGGGACAATATTGTAAAGCAATTATCTTCCAATTAAATATTGGAGGACTATGGCATTTGAGAAGATTCTTGAGAGTCCCTTGGACTGAAAGGAGACCAAACCAGTCAATCCTAAAGAAAATCAACTCTGAATATTCACTGAAAAGACTGATGCTGAAGCTGAAGCTCTAATACTTTGGCCACCTGATGCAAAGAGCCGACTCACTGGAAAACACCCTCATGCTGGGAAAGATTGAAGACAGGAGGAGAAGTGGACGACAGAGGACGAGATGGTTGGATCACATCATCAACTCAATGGACATGAGTTTGAGCAAGCTCTGGGGGTGGTGAAGGACAGGAAGGCTGGTGTCCTGTAGTCCATAGAATTGCAAAGAGTCATACATGACTAAGCGACTAAACAACAAAACAACGACAAATATTGGAAAGGGTGTGGAGAAAAAGGAACCCTCTTGCACTGTTGGTGGGAATGTAAATTGGATACAGCCCACTATGGAGAACAGTATGGAGATTTCTTTAAAAACTAGGACTAAAATGACCATATGACCAACAATCCCACTACTGGGCATTTACCCTAAGGAAATCATAATTGAAAAAGATAAATGTATCCCAGTGTTCATCACAGCACTATTTACAATAGCTAGCACATGGTAGCAATCTAGATGTCCAGAGAAAGATGAATGGATAAAGAAATAGTGGTATATGCACACAAAGGAATATTACTCAGCCATAAGAAGGAACACATTTCACTCAGTTCTAATGAGGTAGATGACCCTAGAGCCTATTATACAGAGTGAAGTAAGTCAGAAAGAGAAAGATAAATATTGTAGTCATATGTATGGGATCTAGGAAGATGGTACTGCTGAACCTACTTGCAGAGCAGCAGTGGAGACGCAGACATAGGAAACAGACTTGCCGATACAGTGGGAGAAGGAAAGGCTGGGACCAACCAAGAAAGTAGCATTGAAGCATTTACATCACCGTATGTTAGACAGATAGCCAGTGGGAACTTGCTCTGTGACACAGGGAGCTCAACCAAGTGCTCTGTGAAAATCTAGAGGTGTGGGATAGGGCGGGAGATGGGAGGGAGGTTCAAGAAGGAGGAGACACATGTGTATCTATGGCTGATTCATGTTGATGGATGGCAGAAAGCAACACAATAGTATAAAGCAGTTATCCTCCAATATTATTGTTTAGTCACTTAAGTCATATCTGACTCTTTTGTGACTCAAGGATTATATAGCCCACCAGGCTCCTCTGTCCTTGGGATTTTACAGGCATGAACACTAAGGTGGGTTGCCATTTCCTGCTCTGGGGGATCTTCTGAGCCAGGGATTGAGCCCAAGTCTCCTGCTTGGCAGGCAGATTCTTTACCACTAAGCTACCTGGGAAGCCCAAGTCCTTGATACCATGGTATAAATAACATGGCAGAGTGCACTGTGCATGGGTAATGGGGTCAAATTGAAACCACATCCACCACTTGCTAGCAATGTAATTAAACGAGTCACTTTGATAAACTCTCTAAGGATCAGACTGCCAGATGAAGAATGGTAACTAAGAAGATTTAACAAGAACGTGCCCTGCCTGGTGCTGCATACATTACAGGGCTTTTTCCACCTCCTCACGGACCATCCTCTCAGCTTTGTCCATGCCCCTTCCCAGCTCCAGACACTCTGCTCTGTTTCCACAGGCCTCGGACAACAATTCATGTACCACTTATCCTATTCTGTGTGCATCCTATTTGTTATAACTGTGTTTAGATATAATGATTTTGCAACTATAGTAATTAGTCATTTCTCTCTAGATTGAAAGTACGTCAAGGACAGAGGTTTGATCTTGATCTGCTTCTAAGTCATTTATGTTCCTGAACATACAGGAACTCTAGAAACATGTACTAAGTTGACCTATATAATTGTATATGTTTCACTCAAGTTTTAAAATATTCTTTTCGCTCTAAGGACTAAACGAGGGGGAGGAGCTAAGATGGCCGAGGAATAGGAGGAGGAGACCACTTTCTCCCCCACAAATTCATGGAAAGAACATTTGAACCCTGAGCAAACTGCACAAACAACTTCTGATCGCTAGCAGAGGACATCAGGCGCCCAGAAAAGCAGCCCATTGTCTTCGAAAGGAGGTGGGACAAAATATAAAAGGACTAAACGACTTAGAAGCAGAACAAAGTTTACTATACTGCAAATTCAGTGTATTCTCCTAGAACTTGACATGAGTATTGAAATACAGTGTTCCCTAATGTATGTCACAGACTGAACACCTATTACAGTGAATACAGTCTTCAAAAATGTGTTGTTAGTCAAAAGAGACTTGGGCAAAAGAGATGGCAGTAATATCTACTTAAATCCATCATTACTACAGGGAAAAAATGCCCAAAGATCAGTTCTAATAATATTGAACAGCAAAATTATTCTGCTCTGGAATGAGTTTTACTTTTTAATAGGTTTACAATCTCTGTTTCTACAGAAACTAAAACCTGTGAAAATGAGCTAAAATTGTATGCACAAACATATAATGACTTTCAGGATGCTGTAGCTGAACTGTAGTCAATGAAAGAAAATTATGTTTCACATGTTATTTGTGGTAAATAATATGAAGAGCTAAACATCTGAACAGATTAAAACTTAAATGCATAATAAATGTAACACGTTACCTTGTAGTAAATAAAACAAAAGTCAAACTTTCATACATCTACAATACAAAAGCCATTACTGATTTAATTTTTAACATTTTTGCCAGTTCTTTAAAGTATGTCCAAAAAAATTTAAAAAATAAGTAAAGTATGTCAATATGGTTAAATCATGACCTGCTATCAGAGACACCCCTGGTTAAATCCATGGTTTCAGATCTTGACCTAATTGCTTAACCTCCAAATCTCCATTTGCTTACCAGCAGTATGAAGATAGAGGAGGGCATGGCAATCTATTCCAGTATTCTTGCCTGGAGAATCTCATGGACTGAGGAGCCTAGCAAGCTACAGTCCATAGGGTCACAAAGAGTCAGACAGGACTGAGTGATTTCACACACACACACACACACGAAAATAACAGGTATATCTACCTGAAGGGCTGCTGGAGAATGAAATGATTAAATGATACTGATTGTAAAGCACTGGGCCTGGCATCAAAGTGCGCGCTAAGTCGCTTCAGTCGTGTTCCACTCTTTGAGACCCCATGGACTGTAGCCCACCAGGCTCCTCTGTCCATGATGATTCTCCAGGCAAGAGTACTGGAGTGGGTTGCCATGCTCTGCTTCTGCACCAAAGATTAAAACTTAAATACATAATAATCTTAACACTTTATCTTGAAAGTAAACTGAAGTCAAACTGTTATAATAGTACAAAAATCATTACTGATGTAATTTTTAACAGTTTTTGCTAATTCTTTAAAATATGGCAATGTGGTTAAATCATGACCTGCGATCAGAGACTTAAATCTATCGCTTTAGATCTTGACCAAATTGCTTAATGATAATCATAGTGCCATAATCGCCATAATCATTACAGAAGTTTACCGAGTTGTGATTGTTTAAAACTGGTTATATATATATTTATATACATAAGTAAAGTATGTGAAGTTGATGATATATGTATTGATGCATACATAAATCGCAGCTACTTTTCAGAAAGACTTTTTACAAAGCAGACTTCTTTCAAAGGAGATAGAGCCGCTCCAGCCAAGAGGCACAGTCCTCACCCCTGGAGCGCGCAGGTAGCTCCATCGCAGGCCGGCTGTGCGGCGGACCGGCTGTGCTCAGCGGGCGCGGGCCTAAGGCGGACGCCGGAGCTCGGACGGGGCGGCGCGGCGGTTCCCAGCCAAGCGGCCCGCGCCGCCCCGCCCGCTCGCCGGGGATGAGTGACGGCGACAACAGGTGCGCCGAGGCGTCTGCGGCTTCTCCCGAGCCCCCTAGTTTGGCGCGTCAGGACCCGGGGGTCAGGCTTTAACTCTGCAAACTGGTCTCCTCTCCCCGCACCAGGCTTACGAAGTCGCCCGTCAACCGGCTTCTTGCACCTTAGTAAAGCCTCTAAACGCACCGCCACCTCTCGAAAACCCACCAGTCCTAGAAGCCAACTTTTCTCCAAAGGGGAGGAGAGGGAAAGGCGTGTGGTGCATGGAGCTCTGCATAGCCGCTCGCTGTCTCTTCCCCAGCCGTCCGAAAGCAGACAAGAGTGGCTTCAGAACAGAGCCCTCGATCCTCACACCTCACGCCCGCCCCGACCTGCGGCACGCTCTGCCCCTGAGACGGCCCAGCTCGGCGACCACAGGCCACCGCCGAAACCTGCCCGCCCGCGCCCCTCCCGGGCTTGCGGCGCCCGCCCGCACCGCCACCAGCCGCCCGAGGCTACGTCGTCTGCGCCTCCCTATCCCCGCGGGTGGCAGGTTCAGGCCCCGGGTTCGAGTCTGCGCCCTTGCAGCTTGCCACCGCCGCCGTCGCCGCCAGGGGGAGAAAGTCTACGTCAGGAAGCGTGGTGTTGCTTCCTGAGTGCGAAGGTGCTTTCGAACCGTAGGTTTCTCTGCCTTTCCCCCTGGCTTTTGAAGAGCAGAGAGGACGATGGAGACCGAGTCTGGGGCGGTGAGTACGGCGGTCAGGGCCCAGAGTCCTGGGCCCCCGGGATAGCGGGGAGAAGGAGCAACGTGGACTCCGTCTGTGAGGGGCTGGAAGGACGAGTCTAGAGCTCCTCTTTTGTCAGCAAGAACCGTGGACAGGGCGCCCCATCGACCGCCATGAAGAGCGGCCTGCCTGCAGGCCCCGTCGGGTTGTGTAGTGGGGTCGGGCAGGTGCGACGCCGGGCCTGGACTGGTGTAGACCCGCGGGGAGGTTCCGGGAAGCGTGGGTGACCGGGTCCTGTGCACCAGGCTGGGTCCAGGCCAGAGAACCAGCTTTCCCGCCGAAAGTAGGTTCGGCTGCGTCTTTGACGCTCACTCCAGCCATTCTCAGCCTAGCCGCCCACATGAGGTGTTGGCCAGGCGGCCATCCCCTCCTCTTCCCGACTGGTCAGCGGAAACCAGAAGTGCTAGGAGACCTGGCGGGGGTGGGGGTGGGGGACGAGTGTGGGTTATAAGGGGCACCTGGGCACAGGTCGGACCTGGGCACTCGCGCCCAGGCCAGTCTGGGTGGGGGAGGGCTGGGAGACCGAGTAGGCCCGAGGGGCTGCGGCAACGTGCCGTCGCGCCCCACCCCGTGCCCGCCGGCAGCCAATCAGCGAGTGCCACGCAATGCCCGCGGGCCCCTGCTACGCACGAGGCCGGCGTCTGGGTCTGTGCCGTTGAGGATTCCCGCCACTGCTTCTGGCGGGCTTGCGGGACAAAATTTCTCGCTGGCTAGCCTTCTTTTCCCTCCCGCACTTTGGTGGGGAGGGGGTGGATCCTCGAATCGGTGCCCCAGTTCACGATGACTTGAGAGAACCTGAGGAAGTTGTCGCTGCGGCCATTTCCTCCAGCGCCTCAGCTTGCTGGCCTCGGAGGGGAAGGAGCGCCGAGTCCTTGACTGCGACGGTTAGCCCGTCTTTTTCCTCTTCTCTTCACTGGCAGAGTAGATGATAAATTTTGAGGTTAATTCTCAAGGGGAGGAGGCAGTGGGGCACATTGCTTTGAAGGAAATTTTAAATAAACTTTTTAGTACTAGAAGTTGTACTAACCATAGGACCCTTACTGCTTGCCCCAAACCTGCTTTTCATACATTTGCAAAATTATTGCCGGCGGAATTTGAGGCATTCTGAATTAACTCAATCACTGTCTCTAAGGAACTTAAAGATTGCCTCTACCTGAGCCTTGTTACTGCCAGGATTAAAATATTTTCTAGGGTTTTATTCATGTATTCTTCAGCCCACAACCTAAGGGTTGGTGTATCGTGAGCAGGGAGAAATTATTTATTCTTTATTCAACAAATGTTTATTGAACACCTGCTATATATGGTCTTAGATACTGCGGTGAACAAAACAGGCAAAGCCCTTTTCTTGAACATTACAATATAGTGGAAAGAGATGACAAACGTAATATAAATTACATAGTGTGTTGGAAAGTGATTAGTGGTAAGGAGAAAAAACAGTTGGAACCCACAATAGAATAGGAACCTTAAAAATTGAAGAATGATGTGAATGGAATGTACAAAGTTCGTGTTTTTCCTTCCTCCGTGTTGAGGATTTCTTAAGATTGGAAATAAAGCACTTTGTTCTCCTCCATTCATGTCATTTTTCTCTCATAAAAATAAAAACCAGTGGAGTTTTATTTAAATAAATTTGAAAGCAAAAGAGTTCATTTGTTGAATAAAGAAGTTATAAATTAACTTTCAAATGCCCTGAGAGGGTGCTGTTAAGATTGGGTTCCCAGTTCCTTTAACTGGCAGCTACAACATAGCAATTATTAAATATGATGACTTTGTGGTTTAAGAGATGTTTTTATGAACTCCCTTACTATGGAGCGTTTTTCCCTTTTAAGACTGGATGGAGAATAGACCCAATAAGTTTCAGCCTACAGCCCCGTAGTCACCACTGGCCTAGATGTTTCTCTGTACATCTTGCAGAGATTAGGGATTATGGTTTATTGGCCAATGAAGTGAAAGCAGAGCAGTGTGAAAAAGAACAACTCTGTTATCTAAGCGGGAAATTTATTTTCATGAGTTTGTGTATCAGAGAATTTAAGTCATGAACTTCAAGCTTTTTTAAGCACTTTTTTAGTGTCTCAGAAGTCTCTTTAGTGTTCTTACAAGGAAAATAGCAAGTTCTTACATTTGTTTCTCTTTAAAAATTCTATTCCCAAGTCTTGCTTTTTTCCCAGTGTACCTTAAGAGTCTATCTACTGTCTTGCTATTGTGCAAAGGCTTATATGTTAGTTGTTATTGTTTTTATAGTCACTAAGTCATGTCCAGCTGTTTGCGACCTCATGGACTGTGGACCACTAAGGTCCCCTGTCCATGGTATTTTCCAGGCAAGAATACTGGCATGGGTTACCATTTTCTTCTCCATTATTTGTTAATATATATTTATTAAAATCTGAATTAGAGCCACTGACTTAGAATTGTGAATATATGAATATGAGCTCAGTTCTTTAGCATAAAGTAAAAATTAATATTAAAAACTTCAGAATAAAAACTTATACCTGTACCTATAAATTTTTATACATATAAGGTATAAATTTTATTTTTGCAAAATCAGGCCACTTTTCAAATTGCCAAGTGCATTTAAAAATTTGACTTTAGAGTTGAAAAGCAGTGAACTTAAATGTCAGAATGTATTTACTTGTCAATGCCCTTTAGCCAAAGACCACCACAAATACACCTATAGTTTAATAAAGTTGGCTCTTCTGAATTACAAGGAATAACATGGGGCCTCTCAACTAGAGGATGTTAGAACTTATTATAGGATTTAGGCTTGTATTAGCACTTTTTTAGAGTGGGTTTAAAAAAGGTTTTACTCTGAAATGCATGTTGTCAGAAAGTGGGAGTAATTCTATGATTGTGCTAAGTGCTACATCGCTTCAGTCATGTCCGGCTCTTTGCAACCCTTTAGACTGTAGCCTCCCAGGCTTCCCTGTCCATTGGTTTCTCCTGGCAAGAATACTGGAACGGGTTGCCATTTCCTTCTCCAGGGGATCTTTCCCACCCAGGGATTGAACTGGCGTCTCCAGTCTCCTGCATTGGCAGGCAGGTTCTTTACCACTAGTACTACCTTAGTTCTTATTTAGGAGACAAGAAAGAGATTGAAGCTAAGTTCTGTGATTGATAAACAAGGAGCAGTCAGTCTTTTCAGGCAGGATAAAAGGATGTTTGGTCATTCTTGTGGTTTGGGAAATGCTTTTGTTTTTGTCAATGTGCATATATGGTTATGGAGTGGTCTTGTTTTTATCTTCACCCATCACAACAGCGCTTCCTGATAGCTCAGTTGGTATAGAATCCGCCTGCAATGCTGGAGACCCCGGTTCCATTCCTGGGTAGGGAAGATCCCCTGGAGAAGGGAAGGGCTACTCACTCCAGTATTCTGGCCTGGAGAATTCCATGGACTACAGTCCATGGGGTCGGAGAGAGTCAGACAGGACTGAGCGACTTTCACTTTCTTTCATCACAATAACAGTAGCCTTGCTCAATGTTGGTGTTAACAAGAGAACACCACAGACTACCTGTGAGGTCCCGGACACCTCTTACAACACCAGGGCCTAGTTGTTGTACCAGGCCAGCTCCTAACTGTCCAGGGCTACTTTTCTCTTTCCTAAACTTCTTTTTGAGTTTAATATTCCTTCTTAATACTTAAAATATTTAAATTTTACATTTAATAGTAATTAATATATGTATGTTTATATGATACATTTAAGATTTAAGATCTCTGTAGAGAAGTAGATTCTGTATTGTATTTTTCTTGCCTTCAAAAGTTATTAGCTTTATAATCTTCATAGTAGCATAAAATTAAAGCCTAAAATACTACATTTTGTCAGTGACTTACCTTTTTGAAGGATAAATGCTTTTATCTTGTGTTAAAACTTATACCCAGTACCAAGAGTTTAAAAGAATTTTATTTTACAGCAAACATCAAATCAGACGCAAACAGATTCATTATCTCCATCCCCTAATCCTGTGTCACCTGTGCCTTTGAATAACCCAACGAGTGCCCCAAGATATGGAACAGTGATCCCTAATCGCATCTTTGTAGGAGGAATTGACTTTAAGGTACCTAATAATGCATGCAATATAGTGAATTATTTTTTGTATTACAAGTATTATATTTCTCATAAATGGTTTATTTGTGCAACTGTAAAAACAATGTATTTAACATTTTCATAATGATTAATAGGGTTCAAATTGTCTTATTATAGTAGAGTATATATAATTGTCTAATTTCACATACAAGGAAATTGAGGCTCATTGACATATCTATAGTCTCCTAACTACTTAGAGACAGAGTGAAAACTAGAATCCTAGTTTTCTTTTTTTTTTTTGGAATCCTAGTTTTCTGACTGATAGCTCCACGTTCTTTGTTTCACCATATCACACTAATTATACTTTTTTTATATAGTAATCCAATAGCCCAAACAATGAGTGATTAAAATTTTCAAAAGTTGACTCAATTAAGGAAAAAGAAAAAGCACAACAGTTTTCTGAAGTCCTGTTTCTTTATCCCAACTTTTATCTTCAGTTCCTGAGTAACTTCTTAGACTTTTATTTTTCTAATTGCTTGTAACCGAATTTATAATTTGATTACCAAAAAAGGCCTGTGTCCTAGTCAAAATAAAGCATCTTAACAGTAATATGTTTAAATAATGTAATCAGCCATTTCACTCTTTCAGAGAGGCATAGTTTTATGAGATGTTTTGCAGCCCACCCCCCACCCCCCCATGTGGGAGGCAGTTGTAAACATCTACAGGAAAAGCAGGCATCGATAATTTAGGTGGAACATTCTTTCTTCCAAGGGAATATATAGAAGGATTTCCAGGCTTCCATATTGCATACTGGAAATTTCAGGGAGAGTTGTCTTAAAAAAAAAAATCCTTGTGGAATTAGGGTATAGTATTTTTCACTCACTGTTTTCCAACAATCAGTGTCTTACAATTTGGATGGAATTGCTTCTTTCCTGCTCAAGATGAATGTCACAATGTGTTTATCAAAATTATGAGTCTTAAGCAAGTGTGTGATTGGGTCACTAATAATAAATTAAGGAAAATAATTTCTTATGAAGTGCTTGCTTTTAAAAAGATTTCCTGTTTCTGTGGAAAATATTAATAACTGACCATAAATATTCAAGTTAAATATTCTTATTCAGAGTTTATATTATATTAGCTTAGTATATCTTTAAATACATCATCAATAAGTGTAGTAATTTGTATGGCTAGGTTAAGTGGAGGGTTTTTATCTTTTTTGGCGTATAGCTGCTTTCCAATGCTGTTTTAGTTTCTCTGATACAGCACAGTGACCCAGCTATAGGTACACACATACCCCCTCTGTTAGGTTCCTTTCCCACTCAGGTCACCACAGCGCTGAGTAGGGTTCCTGTACGATACAGTGGCTCGCCTTAGTTTAGTGCCGGTTTTTATTGAAGCCAGTCAGCCACAGTATAAACTCTGGGGCCACTGTTACAATACAGTCTTAGCTTTAAGTTCACTGGTAAGGTTCTCCCTCTTACGGTTACACCTTACCCAAAACCATAGGTAATTTCCAGCAAGGAAGTAGTTTAACACAGTAGCAAGCAGTCTCAAACTTCATAAAATTCTTTTTAGACCCCTAGAACCCATCCCTTTTAATATTTGATTATCTTGACGTTCTGTCTCCTTTTTAACAGAAATGGAGATGCAAGGTTGAGCTAGTGATTCTTCTGTCAGAGAATGGTTTGAATTAATTTGTTTTCAAGTCTCTAATAGAAATCTTTGATGTTGATTTCATTTTGTGTTTATTGAAATGAGACTCTTATACCTAGATTAACTCAGTATTTGCCATCATCCAATTTAGCAAGCCTTAGGTTACCAACTAAAAATTTAGTTTTTTACTTAAGTATGAGGTATCTGTGGAACTCAAGAGGTATTGCTCTACCATTAGGCATGTCTTTTCTTATATATGTAAAGAAAAATTTTTTCTATGAATATTTAAAGTTTTTCTTGGGGGCAAACACAGTTGAACCAGAAAATGAAATTGCAGTGAATTTAGAGTGAATGCTCTAGGGAAAGGTGATGTGGGTCTATTATGAGATTATTTTAATTACCAGATATGCCAAACCATCTTTGTAGACATCTTATGCATGATAGTCTAGTTATGACTCAGTATTTTTTGTGTATCATCATAATGTTCATATGTATATTGCAGATAAAAAGTCTAAAAACTTTAAGTTTTGTAGCCTCTCTGTTGTTACCACAGATTGAGTTCAGGTACTTTTGTAAATATATTTCCTTTCTAAGACCTTAACTTTCCTGATGACTATGCTAATTAAAATTGAGTGATTGTTTGACAGAAAACAGCAAAATTCTTTAAAGCAATTACCCTTCAATTAATAATAAATTTTAAAATTAAAATAGAGTGACTGGTGGAGGTCAGCATAACCTGGTTCCACTGCCATGACTGTAGGCCTCTCTGAATCACAAGAACCAATAATAATATGCCCTTAGTATAGTTACAGGCATGCCTAGTACAGTTTTGGAGAAGGAAGTGGCAGCCCACTCCAGTATTCTTGCCTGGAAAATCCCATGGACCGCGGAGCCTGGTAGACTACTGTCCATGGGGTCGCATAGAGTCGGACACGACTGAGCAACTTCACTTTCGATTTCAGTACAGTTTTATCAAAAAATAGCTAACTAGAGAACAAGCTTTATTTGTAGTTTTAGAAAACTCAGCTTAAAATATTTTATTGCCATGTAATAATTTAACAACATAGTATTAACAACTCTGCATAAAGCAAAGTATTAATATTGATTTTAATAATTTAGTGATTTCATGCACTGTTTTTATGATGACAGGCATTTTATACCCATATTGTTACTTGTGTTGCCTTTTCTATCTCCAAAACAAGCAGAAGAGTTATTTCATCTTTTATCAATTAAAGTGGTTTTTTTGTGTTTTTTTTTTATACCATTAGACAAATGAAAATGATTTAAGAAAATTTTTTTCCCAGTATGGGTCTGTAAAAGAAGTGAAGATTGTCAATGACAGAGCTGGAGTTTCCAAAGGGTTAGTATCACTATAGGTAGTACACAGAATTAACCATTGTGTTTTTATTGGATTGCTACGTTTTGTATTCTGCCTTACTTTGGTTCCTTTTTTTTTTTTAAAGAAGGAGGTTGTAGTGGGTTTGGCTGTGTTTTGTTGTTGTTTTTTGGAGGGGGGAGGGTTGGTTGTGTTTTGGTTTTTTTTTGGCTGCACTGGTTCTTCATTTTTGTGCCTGGGCTTTTTCTAGTTGCAGCAGGCAGGGGCTCTAGGGTGCACAGGCCTCAGTAGTTGTGGTGCATGGGCTTAATTGCTTGACCGCATGTGGAACCTTCCCAGATCAGGGATGGAACCCATGTCCCCTGAATTGGCAGGCGGATTCTTTACCACTGGACCACCAGGGAAGTCCTGGTTCCATTTTTAAAAAGAGAATTTCATGGCTTATTTCTCCTACCTTTTGATCTCCATGTGTGGGGGAGTGGGGTGTGAGTATTTTAGAGGAAAGGGGACAGTATAATATTCCTTAATTTGTTGTAAAGTTATTCTTGCAAAGGCTGAGGGACCATTCATTGTTAGGTAGTAAGCACTTAATGTTAAGTAGCTGATGTCCAGTAGCCAAGGAACCAGAAGCTAAAGGAATCTGATACTTTTGGAATTATATATCTGCTTTAGACTAGAGAGAACTTAATTTGGAAAAGGCTGACATAAAAGAATGTCTGTAGGTTGTGCGTTAGAGACCTAACCAGGGGACTAATCTAAGGAATATAATCTTAGAGTGATTTTTAATTGCCAAATCAAGGAGAATGAAAATTAAAGAATAAAGCACTAGGATTTGGCTAGTATTGTCTGGTGACATTAGAGCTGTTTTAGTGAATTGGTATATACAAAAGCCAAATATCAGAGAAGAAAAAGGTAGTTTACATAGTGTTCTCACTTGAGAAGTTTGATTGCAAAGTTAAAGAAATCGATGAGTGATTATTTTCTTGAAAAAGAGGCAATATATACATATTCATAGGCATAACAGAAGGGACCAATAAGATGGATAAAATATTAGTGGGAAACTACATGTAAGTATGACAGGTGGACACTTCGAAAGAGATGAGATCCTGCAGAGATTATGAACAGATATAAACATATAAATAAATCCTGTATATAAACAAGAGACTTCTGAGTCTGACAAACAATAATATGATGAAGTGAAATTGTACCACTTTTATTTGGCTTAGTGGGATTTGTAATATCCATTTTTAAATCATTGAAAAACACACATAGCAGTGTAGACTGTATTTTATGCCTTTTCCACTGGGTGGTATATGTGTTCTACTAAAAAAAGTGTAAAAGTATTTCTTCAGCCCTTGTTTAATACTTGAGCAAATAAAGAAATTCCTTTGTTGAAAAAGGAAATTCATATACAATACAGTAATTATGAATTGAAGAAAATAGTAAATGTTTATTAATTACATGATACATAATTACTTATTAGTAATTATGAATTGGCACTTCCCTGGTGGCTTAGACAGTAAAGAATCTGCTTGCAATTCATAAGACCTGGGTTCGATCCCTAGGTTGAAACGATCCCCTGGAGAAGGGAACAGCTACCCACTCCAGTAATCTTGCCTGGAGAATTCCATGGACAAAAGAGCCTGGCAGGCTACAGTCCGTGGGGTCGCAAAGAGTCGGACACGACTGAGGAACTTAACATACATACACAATTTGAGGAAAATAAAGTTGAGCATTACTCAAGAGAGTTTCCTAAAGTTATCTAAATAGAGATTAAATTTGGGGAGGTATGATTTTATTTCTTTCATCCCTTTTTATCTACCTATTTTGTGTTTTTGGACAAGGCATATATTCTGTAATTCAGCTGTTAAAGAATCCACCTGTAGTGCAGGAGATCCCGGTTTGATTCCTGGGTGGGGAAGATCCTCTGGAGAAGGGATAGATCACCCACTTCAGTATTCTTGGGCTTCCCTGGTGACTCAGCTGGTAAAGAATCCACCTGCATTGTGGGAGACCTGGGTTTGACTCCTGGATTGGGAAGGTCCCCTGGAGAAGGGGATGGCTACCCACTCCAATATTCTGGCCTGGAGAATTCAATGGACTGTAAAGTCTGTGGGTGTCTCAAAGAGTTGGACACAGCTGAGCAACTTTTACTTCACTTATACTGTGTATTTGTATCTTGATCATATGATTTATACTCTGAAGATAACAATTATATATGAAAAGCAGATATAAAACCTGGGTTGTACCATATTTTTAATTTATTTTATTTGGGAAATATACTAATAGTTACATTCTCAGTTTATATATGCTAATAATAGTAAATAATATGTGTACTCATTTACCAAGATAAAATATTTTATCATGTTCAATTTTTAGTTTTTTAAAGGTTCTTTTTCTACTTTGATTTCTGTTTAAACCAAACATATCATTTTAAAAGGAGGTTACTGCTCTGGGCTGAAATTTATTGCACCCTAATTTGTAAACCAGAATAGAAATCTCTCATGCTTTCCTGCCTTGCATATAGCTCTGGTCTGAAACTGTTTAAAGATCCCTGGGTTGTTGTTTTTTATTTTTTAGGCCTCTCCCTTTAAGATGGTAAGTGTTAAGCTGTGAGCGATTCTCTTAAGTTTTGCATACTGGTACACCATAGAAAAATGTTCATTCCTACCGTGGCCCATTCTAAAAATATATATATTTAATCTTAGTATAATTTCAATGTAATGTTCTAATATAATGATTAATGGATTTATTTAGGTATGGCTTTGTCACTTTTGAAACACAAGAAGATGCACAAAAAATTTTGCAAGAGGTAAGATATTTTGGTGTATTTAATTTCATTTTTAGAACTTCTTTTTTTGATGTATTTAACTTCATTTTTGGAGCTTCCTTCTTTGAAACTAATCTTTTAAGGCAATAGGCCCCAACCTTTTTGGCACCAGAGACTAGTTTGGTGGCAACAGTTGTTCCACAGACCTGGGGCAGGGTGGTTTTGGGATGATTCAAGTATGTCAGCATTTACTGTGCACTTTATTATTATTACATCAGCTCCATCTCAGATCATCAGGCATTAGATCCCGAAGTTGGGGGCCCCTGCTTTAAGGTATCAATTTAATAGTAGGGTTCCAGTACAATAATCGATTGCTAAAAAACAAATTTATTTTCTTTGTATCTTGAGATTAACATTGGTCTCCAAAAAAATAATTAAAAATTAAAGAGAAATTTTATCTACAGAAAAACAAATGCCAAATAATTGCATAAGTTTGGCTGTGAAATTGTAATATAATTTTTCACTTTATTTTCTTAAACTGAGAATTTAGGGATGTATCTTTTCTGATGTGTTAATAGCACTTTGAATTCCTAAAAAACACTATGAATATAGATTCCTAAAATGAGATTATCTGAGATTGTTTCCCTCCTATGAAAAACTTTATATAAACTAAGAACATTCATAGAAAAAAATCTAAATCCTGCAGTTCAGTATATAATAACTCTTAAGTTTGGCCAGTGTAACATTTAATTTTTTAGGAAAAAATTTTATTTTAATTTTAATTGTATTTTATTAAGTCATATGCATTCAGCTCTCATTATTTGTAGTGGATGTGTTCTATAAAATCATCACAAACACTGAATTAGCAAATATTGACGTATGCTGCACCTAGAAGATAAAGGGTTAGTTTCTCACAAACTTCTGTTTACAATATTTTCATCAACCAGTCAATATATAACTTTGTTTTATGTGTGCTTCTGTTTAAAGATTACATGTAACATTTTTGATTCATTAACATTGAACTCATGATCAACAACACTATAACCCATGCGTGAATTAACCCAGCTAACACATATTTTCTCTGCTAAAACACATGACAGTCTTTTTGTGCTTGGGAACACTAGCCAGCACTTCAACACTACACTTGAGAGCCATCTTAAGTAGCAAAAATACTAACATAAGGCACAAAAATGTGAAAAACATGATAGTAAATAGAACATGAAAAGGACATTTGTTTACAGTATAAAAGCTGAAAAAAGAAAACAAAATGTCTCCCTGTTAGCTCAGCTGGGACCACATGTGTAACACAACTCAAATTAAATTGCCAAATGAGGAATTAGGGTCAGAACATTGGAATCAGGATTCACACCCAAATCTATTTTAATCCAAAGGCTTTGCACTTTCCACTATGCCTTGCTGTTTTCAAGGAGTGATAATAAAGTAATGTACTGTTTCTTATTTTAGGCTGAAAAACTAAATTACAAGGATAAGAAACTGAACATTGGCCCGGCAATAAGAAAGCAACAAGTAGGGATCCCTCGTATGTATTGAGAACTAATATATTTTTCAATATTTTTGCATAGTTCTTTTTCAAAATATAAGACTATTAATAGAACTTCATTAAACTATCAGGTTTCTTTGATTTAATAAAGTTATTTTAGCAAAGTTGGTAGTCAAATGAATATTTCTTGCCACAAATTAAATACCGTAACTTGTGGGATGGAGGCGGCTAGGGAAAATGTATATAAATAATAATGTTTAACTATATTCCAAATAGTTATATCTTTAAAGGAAAAATTATATAGTTAAAATATAATTTAAAATTATGAAAGAAATTAGAATTAACTACTATTTTAAAGTTTTTCTAATTAATAGAGTAATTTAAAATTAGAATAAAATTACTGAAAGTAAAAATGTAAAATATCAGAAACTCTGCTTGTATGGTATATACTGTAAACCAACCATATGTATCATAATTATCAGAACAAACAACCCCTAAAGCTTTAGGAATTGGCTAAGTGCCTTCCTCAAATTTCCAGAATGCTTTCAACTCTTACTCTTTTTTTCTCACTCTTCCCATTTATTAAATTAGACATCTTTATGGTTACCTTTTAACCTATAGTATTAAAATCTCTAACAGAGTCTTTGGCTAGAAGGAGAAACTTTGCATATAATTTGTAACTAGTGTCCTCACTGTCTACTTGGGTATTCAAAACATTACATAGTTATTATACATCTGTTAACAAATTAATAGATTGTGCTCATTTGGACTGTTTTGCTTTGACTTAGAAGTTAACAGATATCAAGTTTAATTTTGACTTAGTATTTGTTAATTTAGAAGATAACTGATGTGTCCTTAGTAAGTTGATACTGCAAAATGAAATGCACTAAATATGGCAGAATACGGAATATTTTCAGACTACTCCTGTTAGTTATAAGAGTTAAGCTATAGCATGCAACAACAATTCTTAACCCATTATCACCATCAGTAAAAACAACTGGGAGTGTTCATATTATTACCCACAGGTTGCTAAAAACAGAAATAAATCAGCACTATCCTGAATGCTTTCAAACAGACAAATAGTTACTTAAGAACTGTTTAGCATTAAGGTCAACATTATGGGTTTTTATTTATTTCATTTAATCTTTACAGCACCCTGTGAGGTATTGTTAGTTCTATTTTGTAAATAGAAAATGCAGCTTATAAAGGCAAAGTCATTGTTTTAGAAACTAGGTATGTACAAGGGATTATTACCTTTTTTTTTTTTCAAATCTGTCACCTATTTTCCATCTCTGTTACCAACATTCTAGTCCCAGAAACCCACTCTGCTTGCCGTAATTACTTGAAAAGCCTCCTAACTGATCTTTCTGAATCCAATTTTGCTATCACTACCTTACCACCCATCACACACAAGGCAGCCAGAGTGATCTTTCAAACATGCACATCTTATCATGTTATTCTCTGCTTATTTTGAGCTGTTCTTATATTTTCCATGCTTTAATCATTTAGCCATCCTTCATTTCAGAACATAACCATATTTCTGATACACTGTTTTCTTCACCTACAATGGTCTTTGCCATCCCATTCATTCTTTAAAACTCAGCCCAAATATCAATTTCCTCACAAATACTAGACACATACGATATGTAGTGTTTAGCATTACACCCTATATTGCTGCTGCTGCTAAGTCGATGCAGTCGTGTCCGGCTCTGCACGACCCCATAGATGGCAGCCCACCAGGCTCCACCATCCCTGGGACTCTCCAGGCAAGAGCACTGGAGTGGGTTGCCATTGCCTTCTCCAATGCATGAAAGTGAGAAGTGAAAGTGAGGTCGCTCAGTCATGTCCGACTCTTCGCGACCCTGTGGACTGCAGCCTATCAGGCTCCTCCGTCCATGGGATTTTCCAGGCAAGAGTACTGGAGTGGGTTGCCATTGCCTTCTCCACTACTCGGTACTACCCAATATAATAACCTGTACTACCTATACTGCCTTTTGTATTTATCAAAATTATAATTAATTGTGTAATTAGCTAATGACTGTCTTCCTTACCAGAACCTAACCTCTATGAAGATAGAGACCATGGCATGCTCAATTTTCTTCTTGTTTCTTTTTGGCTGTATCACTAAGCCCTAGTTCAATGCGTTGTAATAATAACACTCAAAATTTCTTTATTTAACACCTGTGGTACCTAAAAGGTGATCTTTGGAGGGAATTCCATGGACCTTCCAAATTGCATGCAAAATTTTGTTTGAATGTATATATTTTTATGAAAAAGGTCTTTGGCTTTCATCAGATTCTGAAAAAAAAATAAGAACCACCAAAATATGCTATAACAGTAGTAGGTAAAATGTCGTGAAAATATAAAAGCCGAATAGTAGTGCTACTTAGAGTAGAAGGCTAGTGCTGCTGTCAGTGTGGTTTGCAATCACCAATAGTTAACTTGGGCTCTATCAAAATACAGTTTCTCAGGCCCCATCCCAGGCCTCTTGAATCAAAAGTCTCTTGAAATGGGGACCTGGAGTTTGTATTTTAACAAGCTGTCTAGCTTGTTATAATGAATTTTAAATTTTGAGACACACTTGTATAGTGGAAGGAGGATTGCCACCTCACTAATTTATGTAACCTGTTAGTCAAGGACTTAAATCTGACTTGGCATATAAAATTTTTAAAGTCTTCTCCTGACAAAAAGGACTTTTTTTATTTTGTGGGGAGGAGTATATGTAACTTGACCTGGGAAAAGAGATGAGGACCCAAAATTAGCAACATGAAGGTCTGTGGTCATGTTTGCAACAACAGCAAAGAGAGACTAGGGAGTAAAATACAGTCATAGCATAAGTGAGTGCTTGTTGATAGTAGATCCTAAGAATTTTTAAGGTAGAACAAGTATTTTGTCCAGTTTCACACTCTCCATCTTCTTTGGGCTTTTACAAATAGATGGTCTTACTGAGATCTTAGGGACTTTGCTGCAGTGTCAGAAGTCTTCAGGTAACTCTAAATTATATGTAGTTTATATTTGTAAAAATAATGACTTTGCTGATAATAATCTCAATTGTAAAGTTCTATATTTCTTTATACTACTTTAAAACCAGAATTGATTAATTTTTGTTACTCCTTATTAAACTTGTTTCTTTTTATTTACCATAAGCTAACAAAAGCACTAAGGGTAGTAAGTTTGAAAATAAATGCTTCAAAGATACTTTAACATATGGAATGTTTAAAGAATTTTTAATACTCAGTTTTTACTATAGCTATATTTGTGTAAAGATAAACATTTTTCAGTGTTCAGAAATTATACTTTTAAATGGTAAACTGAACATTTCAATTATTACTATTTCCTTTTTGTTTTAGGTTCCAGTATAATGCCAGCAGCTGGAACAATGTATCTAACAACTTCAACTGGATATCCTTACACTTATCATAATGGTGTTGCTTATTTTCATACTCCGGAGGTAACTTCTGTCCCACCACCTTGGCCTGTAAGTAGTTTCATTTTTGTTGTTGTAATTTCATTTTAAAAGGGTTTCCATCTGTTGCTGTTAAATTTTTATTTCTGAAATATTTCAGCCACAGACAAATATAAATAATAATGTGACATCCATGTAACTATCACTCATTTTTTTATCAGTTTTTATTTAAGGATGTATTTTTCTGTACTCTGTTCTTTAGTTAGCAAGATTTTGTTGTTCAGTCGTGTCCGACTCTCTGCGACCGCATGAACTGCAGCAGGTCCCTGTCTTTCACTGTCTCCCAGAGTTTGCTCAAACTCATGTCCATTGAATCTGTAGTGCCATTTAACCATATCATTTTCTGTTACCCCATTCTCTTCCTGCCCTCAATTTTTCCCAGCACCAGGGTCTTTTCCAGTAAGTCAGCTCTTCCTATCAGGTGGCTAGAGGATTGGAGTTTCAGCATCAGTCCTTCCAATGAATATTCAAGGTTGATTTCCTTTAGGATTGACTAGTTTGATGTCCTTCTTGTCCAAGGGACTCTCAAGAGTCTTCTCCAGCACCACAGTTCAAAAGCATAATTCTTAAGCACTCAGCTTTCTTTATACTCCAACTCGCACATCCTTACATAACTACTGGAAAAACCATAGCTTTGACAAACGGACCTTAGTTGGCAAAGTGATGTCTCTGTGTTTTAATATGCTGTCTAAGTTTGTCATAGCCTTGCTGTCTAGATTTGTCATAGCCTTCCTTCCAAGGAGCAGGTGCCTTTAGATTTCATGCAGTCACCATTCACAGTGATTTTGGAGCCCAAGAAAGTAAAATGTGTCAGTGCTTCCACTTTTTCCCCCTTCTGTTAGCCATGATGTGATGGAACCAGATTCCATGATCTTAGTTTTTTGAAGGTTGAGTTTTGAGCCAGCTTTTTCACTCTCTTCTTTCACCCTCACCAAGAGGCTCTTTAATTCCTCTTTGCTTTCTGCCATTAGAGTGGTATCATCTGCCTATATGAGGTTGTTGATATTTTCTCCCAGAAGTCCTGATTGCAACTTGTGATTCATCCAGCAAGGCTTTCGCATGGTATACTCTGCATATAAGTTAAATAAGCAGGGTGACAGTATACAGCCTTAACATACTCCTTTCCTAATTTTAAACCAGTCCATTTTTCCATGTCTGGTTCTAGCTGTTGTTTCTTGACCCCCATACAGGTTTCTCGGGAGACAGGTAAGGTGGTCTGGTATTCTCATCTCTTTAAGAATTTTCCACAGTTTATTGTGGAAACCAAACAAACATCCACAGAAGTACATGTTTTTCTGAAATTGCCTTCCTTTCTCCATGATCCAACAAATGTTAGCAATTTGACCTCTGCTTCCCTTCCCTTTTCTAAACCCAGCTTGTACATCTGGAAATTCTCAGTTCACGTAGTGTTGAGGCCTAACTTGAAGGATTTTGAACATATTCTTACTAGCATGTGAAATGAGTATAATTGTATGGTAGTTTGAACGTTGTTTGGCGTTACCCTTCTTTGGGATTGGAATGAAAACAGACATTTTCCAACCCTGTGGCCACTGCTGAGTTTTCCAAATTTGCTGGCATATTCAGTGCAGCACTTTAACATGATCATCTTTTAGGATTTGAAATAGCTCAGCTGGAATTCCATCACCTCCACTAGCTTTGTTTGCAGTAATGCTTCATAAATGAGGCCCACTTGACTTCACACTCCAGCATGTCTGGCCCTAGTTGAGTGACCACAGCATTGTGGTTACCTTGGTCATGAAGACCTTTTTCATATTGTTCTTCTGTGTATTCTTGCCACCTCTTCTTGATCTCTTCTGCTTGCATTAGGTCTTCATCATTTCTGTCCTTTTTCATGCCCATACTTGCATGAAATGTTCCTTTGATATCTCCAGATTTCTTGAAGAGATCTTTCCCATTCTATTGTTTCTCTCTACTTCTTTTTATCTCTCCTTATTATTCTCTGGAAATCTGCATTCACTGGAGTATATCTTTCACTTTCTCCTTTGCCTTTCTCTTTTTTTCTTTTCTCAGCTATTTGTAAGGCCTCTTCAGACAACCATTTTGCCTTCTTGCATTTCTGTTTCTTTGGGTTGCTTTTGGTCACCAGATGATAAATATGCTTTCTAGGTTTGTCATAGCTTTTCTTCCAAGGATCAGGCATTTTTTAAATTAATGGCTGAAGTCATCGTCCACAGTGATTTTGTAGCCCAAGAAAATCAAGTCTGGCCCAGTTTCTGTTGTTTCCCATCTATTTGCCTTGAAGTAATGAGACCAGATGCCATGATGTTAGTTTTTTGAATGTTGAGTTTTAAGCCAGGATTTCAGTCTCCTCTTCTACTTTCATCAAGAGGCTCTTTAGTTCCTCTTTGCTTTCTGCCATAAGAGTGGTGTCATCTGCATATCTGAGGTTATTGATACTTCCCCTAGCAATGTTGGTTGCAGTTTGTGCATCATCCATCCCGGCATTTCACATGACGTACTGCATATGTTAGATAAGAAGGGTGATGATATACAGCCTTGATGTACTCCTTTCCCAATTTGGAACCAGTCTGTTCCATGTCCAGTTCTAACTGTTGCTTCTTGCCCTGCATATAGGTTTCTCAGGAGGCAAGTAATGTGGTCTGGTACTCCCATCTCTTTAAGAGTTTTCCACAGTTTGTTATGATCCACACAGTGAAAGGCTTTAGCACAGTCAGTGAAGCAGAAGTAGATGTTTTTCTGGAATTCTCGCTTTTTCTATGTTTCAGTTGATGTTGGCAGTTTGGTCTCTGATTCCTTTGCATTTTCTAAATCCAGCTTGTACATCTGGAAGTTCTCAGTTCACATCCTGTTGAAGCCTAGCTTGAAGGATTTTGACCATTACCTTGCTAGCTTATGAAATGAGTGCAGTTGTGCAGTAGTTTGAACATTCTTTGGCTTTGCCCTTCTTTGGGATTGGAATGAGAACTGACCTTTTCCAGTTCTTTGGCCACTGCTGAGTTTTCCAAATTTGCTGGCATATTCAGTGCAGCACTTTAACACCATCATCTTTTAGGATTTGAAGTGCCTCAGCTGGAATTCGATCACCTCCACCAGCTTTGTTTGTAGTGATACTTCCTAAGGCCCACTTGATTTCGCACTCCAGGATGTCTGGCTCTAGGTGAGTAATCACACCATCATGGTTATCTGGGTCATTAAGATCTTTTTTGCGTAGTTCTTCTGTGTTTTCTTGCCACCTTTTCTTAATCTCCTCTGCTTCTGTCAGGTCCATACCATTTCTGTCCTTTATTTGTGCCTAAAATGTTCCCTTGGTATCTCTAATTTTCTCCAAGAGATCTCTAGTCTTTCCTGTTCTGTTATTTTCTTCTATACAAAGGTATTGTTCACTTAGGAAGGCTTTCTTATCTTTTCTTGCTGTTCTTTGAAGCTCTCCGTTAAGATGAATATATCTTTCCTTTTCTCCTTCGCTTTTCTTTTTTCTCAGCTATTTGTAAGGTCTCCTCAGACAACCATTTTGTATTTCTTTTTCTTGGGGCTCATTAGGGTAGTGTCATCTGCATGTGCTGTGCTATGTTTAGCCTCTCAGCCGTGTCCAACTCTCTGTGACCCTGTGGACTGTAGCCTGCCAAGCTCCTCTGTCCATGCATATTCTCCAAGCAAGAATAATGAATTGGTTTGCCAAGCCCTCCTCCAAGGAATCTTCCCAACCCAGGGATTGAACCCAGGTCTGCCACGTTGCAGGTGGGTTTTTTACCGACTGAGCCAGTGAAGCCTGCGAATACTGGAGTGGGTAGCCTGTCTCTTCTCCAGGGGATCTTCCTGACCAAGAATCTAACCAGAGTTTCCTGCATTGCAGTCTGATTCTTTAGCAGCTGGTCATCTGCATATCTGAGGTTATTGGTATCTCTCCCGGCAGTCTTGATTCCAGCCTGTGATTCATCCAGCCCAGCATTTCACATAATGTCCTCTGCATGTAAGTTCAATAAGCAGGGTGACAATATACAGCCTTGAAGTAGTCCTTTCCCAATTTTGAACTAGTCTGGTGTTCTGTATCTGGTTCTAGCTGTTGCTTCTTGACCTGCATACAGGTTTCTCAGGAGGCAGGTAGTGGGGAGAATTAAATATGACATTCAAATAAAGTCTCCTTGCCTTGATTATCTTGCCCTCTTTTCCTCCTCAGAGGTTAACCAGAGTATCTTTCCTATCCATTTTATATGTTTATACTACAAATGCAGGGATCCTTAAGAATTAGATATATCGTGTTGCTTTAGGCAGCTTTTAAATGCTATATAAATAATCTGGTTTTTCTGTTCACTATTTTGTTTTTGAGATTAAACCATGTTGATCCTAGTACATCTAGTTCATCTATTTAAACTTTTTATAGTACTCCATTGTATGAGTGTATATTTTGTATTGATGGACATTTTAAGTTTTTTCTACAATCAAGACTACACTGAGAGAACTGTACTCAATATATTGTACTAACCTGTAAAGGAAATGAATTTGAAAAAAAATGCGTGTGTGTGAGCATACACGTGTGTGTAACTGAGTCAGTTTGCTGTGCACCTGAAATTAACACAACATTGTAAATCAACCATACATCAACAACAAAGAATTTAATCAGATGAAATATTTCCAATGCAATTTTTAAATTGCATATACTACTTATAAACTGCTCGTGATTTTTTAAAACTTAGCCATTAAGGTCCTATTTTTATTCTAATCAATTTGCAAGACTTTAATATGGAGTCAAAACTTTATTATTTTATATATAAATATTACATGGTATTTTCATCTTTTTCACTCTTTATAAGTTTAAAAGTTTTATGACTAAATGAATTTTTTAATTTTACTTCATCACTTACAATGTTGCCCCCCTAGAAATTTGAAAACTACTCAGATTTACTTTCTGCTAGTTATTCCATGATTTCATTTTACTTTATATTTAACTGTTTAATCCATTTGGCGCTTTCTTGGGGTATGTTTTGTGGTCATATTCTGCAAATTCAATTTTGGGTATTTTTCCTGAACAG